TTGTTTGGAGTTATTGAAGAAAAGATTTTGTTTGCCCTAATTTCACTAAAAATTTATCTTGGTTCCAATCACAATCACAAAACTAACATATTTCAGTGCATAAAACCCAAGTAGATGGTTTGCTCTGATACAGCTGACCGATTTAGAAAAATGATGATTTGGTTAAATGGCTTTCTGAGAATGGAAGCATGAAACTATACACCATCAATGAAGGACAGTGAAAACTTTTAAAATTCGAACAGCAAACATGAATGTAACACTCACAAATCACTTTTTGACATATATCGCTTAACTATCATCTCATTCTGTTGAGCATCTCTACCACTAATGATCAAATAATTTTCACTGCTGATAAACCAGTTGAATTTCTCAAACCAGTGAACTTTGCGCATGTGAGAAATTGCGGCAACTGTCTTTTCCTGCAAGGCAAGCAATAATTCCAAAGTTATCAAGGTACAAACAGCTTTGCGGCAAGCAAATGCCGCTCTGGCTGGTAAGGAGCATCTAAATGTTTTGAACAGCTTAATAATTCACACAAAAATAAGGATTATCATAACATACGGTTTCGCATCTAAATGTTTTGACAGTTTAAATAGCTTACACCAAAATAAGAATTACTGTAACATATTATTTCATATCCTCCATTTTCCTTGAAACATTTTTAATTACACTGCCATTTTATCAAAGTAAAAGTGTCCCTTAGATGAATAGGATTGAAACAAAGCAATACTCCAGCGACAAAAAAACAGTAAGGGCAATTCCATACATAGCACACGTTTCTTAAGTATTTTCATATTTCACACCTAAACTTTCATATTTACACACACAGCACTTAAATCTTTAATATCAGATCAAAATAGCACTATTACCACTTTATCATGCATAGGTTTCAACCACAAAGTGTCATGTATATAAATATGAAAGTTTAGATGTGAGATATGTAATTACATAAGAATTGAGTGCTACGTATGTAAATCTCCCAAAACAATAATACCTGAGCAAGCTGAAGACGTGTCTTCTTTTCAGCTGCTTTGAAAGCTTTCTCATGAGCTGTTAGAGTTTTTTCTTGTTTGAACTCCTGTTTCTTTTTTAGTTCATACCAACTCCGAGCATTTGCATGAGCAGATAGTGCTAAATCTACTTCTACCTGAAAATTTTCATCATACTAAATAAACAAACCAACCAATAAAAAATGTTCCAATTAAAGTCAGTATTTAGATAACCAAATGATAAAAGGTTGCAAGTCATCCGATTTCATTTAATAAAAGAGGCATTTACATACATAGCACACAATTCTTATGTATTTACATTTCTCACACGTAAACTTCCATAATTACACACAGCACTCAAATCTTCAATACACATAAAAAATAGCACTATTATCACTTTTTAAAAGTCAAATACAACTTTTCATTCATTGTTTAAAAGCACTAAAATGCTATGTATGTAAATATGAAAGTTTACATGTGAGATATGTAAATACATAAGAATTGAGTGCTACGTATGTAAATTTGCCTTAAGAATATATAGAGAAATTTAAATAAATAGCAAATAATTTTTATGTATTTACATATCTCACATCTAAACTTTCTATTTGCATACATAGCATTTTGATTCTTTAAACCTATGCACGAAAAGGTGCATTTCACTATTAAACAGTGGCAATAGTGCTATTTTTTATGTGATAGTAAAGATTGGACTGCTATGTATGTAAATATAAAGATTAGGTGAGATATGTAAATACATCAGAGTTGTCTGCTATGTACGTAAATGCCCCGAATGTATAAACATATATTGCAGTAGCTGCAGAACAAAATGGGGAAGAATATAAGCCATAGGATAAGAGGTTCAGAACCCCCTCATAGTATGACAATGTTATCAGGTCTTCTTGTAGAAACGTACATAAAAAGATAAGCGGGCTTTACATAAATGCCACCCAATTCTTATGCATTTACATATCTAACACCTAAACTTTAATTCTTACATTCATGTCACCCAAATCTTTCACATCACATCAAAAATAAAACCATTTCAACTTTAAAAAGTGAAATACACCTTTTCATGCCTCAGGATTATGGCATGTATGTAAAAAATAAAGTTTAGGTGCTACATAAGTAAATACATAAAAATTGAGTAGTATGTATGTAAATCTTCCCAAGACAAAGCGTCCATTTCTATTCTGCTATATAAACTAGTTCAAGAACACGGTCTAGTGTTACCACAGGAGTGTTACCTTGTCAACTGGGCAAGTTTTTTCATCTTCATCCATTTCATCCAAGTTATTGCTCAGCAACAACGTAATGCAATTTCTTTCAAGATGGAGTTTGTCAATGAGACCAGCAATAGGATTTCCAGCTCTCTTCTCTTCCTTCACCATTCGTACAAGATCATCCCAAGACATTCCTTTTGCAAGAGCAACACGAACAGCTAAGATGGCGGCATCAACATCTTCCAAGTTATATTCAATTAATTCCGCCATTTTAATGGAATGGTCCACTTCTTTCTTCAGTGTAAATACACGATTTTCCTGCACCACAACACTCAGAAGCGAGTTTATTTACAAAATGCAGTAGGCCAGTAAATTATTTAAATGTAACTACTGCTGCATTAACAGTCTAAATATAATCATGCAAAATTTAGGGGCCATTTGGGATCACTTTAGATTTTTTGTTGATTTAAAATAAAATATGTTTGATATGATATAATATATTTAGTTATTTTTAAAAACATTGAAAACAATTTTTCAATTTTTTGAATGTTTTAAAAACAAGCTACTTTGTTTTTAAAGAAAAAAATAATAACATGCAAGGAATATACTAAAAAAACATATTTTTATAATAAAAATGAAAACAAAAAATAAAAAACAAAGTGATCCCAAATAAGGCTTCAAGGAAAAGGAATACACCGAAAAGGAATACACCAAGTTGAAGAGCATTTGTTTCTCTTTTTGTTCGATTAGCTTGATCGCATAAATAGTTGCATAACTAAAGAATAACTAGTTGGGAAATAACACCGAAAGTTTGATATTTACACTTTAACACTTTGGTGTCATAAACCTATATATGAAAAGGAGTATTTTACCTTTAAAAAAATAGTGATAGTGGCAATTTTAATGTGATATTAAAGTTATGAGTGGAATGCATGTAAATATGAATGTTTAGATGTTAGATATGTAAATATATAAGAATTATGTCGTATGTATGTAAATGCCCCCAAACTAGTAATAATGTTGTTGTTGAATCCAGATTTATCCTTAAATCACTCCTAAAGGAATTAGAGTTTTAGAAATGAGAGAGAGAGAGAGAGAGAGAGAGGAGGGTAGAGACAGAGAGAGGAGTGCACAACAACTTAACCCTCCGAGGCAAATTAGGATATTCTCGGGCTCTTGTGATACTTTTTATATAATCGAATATTTTTTTATACATCAGGGAAGGAAGAGAATTCAAAGTAAAAAAAAGGGGTCCTTCTTACATGAAATGATTCACTATTTATAGGGGATGGAGTACAATATCAAGGTATTATATTTATAACCCTGTTTTAATAAGGGTTGTACGTTTTATTTTAGGTATTTTCATGTATAAGCCTTCAGCTCGTCTATATTGGGTCATCCAGGCTTTGGGTTATCATGGCTTCGGGTCGTCCTGACCTCGAGGTTGTCCTGGCCTCGAGGTCGTCCTGGTGTCATGTCATCCTGGCCTCGGATTATCCAAGGTCGTCCTTGCCTCGGATCGTCATGGCCTCAAATCATCCTGGCCATAGATCATCCTAGCTTTAGATCGTCCTAACCTCAGGTCGTCCTAGCCTCGAGGCATCCAAATTCGAGTCGAAATTAATTATTGGTTCTTCTCCATGTGTTGCTTCTCTTCTTAGTGGTGGCATGATCCTCACTCAACGGATTTTTTAAGACGTTGAATCTGAATTTATCCTGTGAATCATATTTAAGGAATGGAGCATAAAATAGGAGAGAGAAAGTGCACAATAATGAGCAGTAGAATGAGGGAATTTCTATTGATTACTTTTGCTTAGCCCTTTCTAATGAAATGAGCCTCCTAATTATAGGAGAGGGGGTACAATGTGCATTAAGTACCTGTTTACCCCTATTTTAATGGGAGCATTACAGAATACTTTGAATATTTAGATAAATGAGCCTATATGGCTCAGCTGAGATTGGCGGACCTTAGGTCAGCAAAACTCGTTCAACTGACTATGCTGACTTGTGGGTTTTCGATCGACTCCTATTGATCTTTGGTTGTTCGAACTTGGCTCAATCTGCTTGAGTCAGTCAATCGACTGTTTTGGTGCACTGTCAACTATAAACCCAAGATGAGGAGCTCATGACGTCAGGATAAGATAAGGATGTCGGACAAAGGGTAAATCATCATAATGTGACAGATATCTCACCCCTAGACAAAAGTTTCTTCGGGGTGTTCGACCTCTTGAAAAGTTTCGGAGACTCTTATGAGGCGGCTAGCAATGTCGGGGCGAGAGTTAGGTTGATGCCTTATCTCGGCTCTGTAGAACTTGGTCTTTTGCTTGGAGGGCCTTCGTTCGGCCAGCTTCAGATCTAGACCCAAAGGATTTGTACTCGGTCAATCAAGTCTTTGATTTTCCGTTGTTAGGACCTTTGGTCTTCCTTCTGTGGATCATCCCTGGTCGTACTTTCTATCTCTTAGTCTGTTAGATCTCCTCAAGATTTGTGCTAACACATTTCTAATGTACAATTATAAATACAAAAATCATATGTTACTTTTTCAACATTCACATGTTTCTTTGTAAGGATCTTGACATTAGTGCGACGAGTTTTTCAATATTCATACGATGCCTCCGATAAACCCCCTTAAACCCAAGATATATATATATGGAGAAAAAACACGAAATGTGGAGCATAATATATAGAGTGGTTATCTGCTCCGCACCTTTCCATCCATGTTCTTAAAGCTATGCATAGAACACTTGAGTGTGGTAGCTTGAAGCATACATACCCATGCAAATGACAGCATGCATGTCACTTCACATGGAAAATACAAAAAAATATTTCAACTTTCAATATTAATAAATGATTTTACGGTTCAAATTATCTTTGTATTCTATTCTACTTTCTTTAATCGATAAAACAACAAGTACATTTATGTCATAACCAATTTTTGATAAATTAGATAATTTTTTTTAGTGACACAAAGTTCCTCAAATTTTTCATCTTCCCAAAATTTGATCGAAATAATTTTACAAAATTCTACGTGTTAAATCAAGCAAATAAAGCAGTATATATTAATTATTTCTTAAAACTTTCCCTAATCACTATGTCACTGTTCTCCACCAACTTACGCACGTGTTAAATCAAGCAAATAAAGCAGTATATATTAAATCATATATATTAATTATTTCTTAAAACTTTCCCGAATCACTATGTCACTGTTCTCCACCAACTTACGCACCTTTTATTTCCATTCATTCGGTCGAAGGAGTCCCGAGCATCGATTCTCTCCTGATTTCTTCTATTGAATCCCGTTCCCTCCTCTCTCTCTCTCAATCCCTCTCCCAAATCAGTTCGCGAGGCAGAGCACAACTACAAACCTTGTTAGAGTGCAAGGGCCGCGATCAAGCATGAACTGAACGACGCCTAGGAAGGTTGTGGCTCGCAATTTAGGGCTAAGTGGCAATTTTTATAAGCACAAATCCCTCTTTCACAATATTTGAAGCATTCATTTCCTTCCTCACCCTTTAATTTTGACTTCTGCCTCATTTTTCGTGCATTTTTCCTTTCTGGTAGTCGCCAGAGGTGCCGATTGTGTCGGAAGCGTCAAAAGTCTTTTGTGAACTTCCATAAGAATTCTAGCACGATATTAGCGTAGGAGATGTGTGGTTGGAGGTGATAGAAAGTAAATTTGGCAGCTTCAGAAAGACAGATTTGTGTTGAAAAGCCTATTTTGAGGTAAGAATGTTACTTTTTGGGTTTAATTAGTTTATGAGCTGAAAATTTATAAAATGCTAAGATTTTTATAGATTATAGGTTATATACCTGAAGCGGGAAGTTCGAGGCAAGCATGTAGAAGATCGTTGTAGGACAGCTCCATAAATTTCAGGTAACATAACCCTATGTTAATTCCGGAAGAATAATTCAATTTACGGAAATCACTTGAATCCTAAAATTTATTATGTTTTATAGGTTATTGTATTCAACACAAATGTTATCCAATGTCCGACTAATTATTCAAGATTGAGAACCTAACGTGGCAATCGAGGTGAGTAATTACATTTCTAAATTTCAGTAATCGTCTTTATTTTAAAATTTATTTTGATTTATTTGTATGTTTTAGTTCAGTTAGATTTATATTATAATGGATTTTTCACATTGTTAGATAGAAAAGTTATGTATGACTGAAAAGTTATAAAAGATGTACATGCATGAAAGAGATACAGGACATGAATGATATTTATATAAAAATTATATGTTAGATGGACATGTAAAAAAGATATGTTTAATATAAGTGAGAAATATGCATGAGATAGATATATGAATAATATGAAAGATATGCATGATAAATAGTTACACAGCATAAAAAATATGCATGTTAGTAGATCCATAAAAATATCTCAGAATAATGTATTTTATAACGAATTAAATAGTTTATATATGAATGCATGTATGTGCATGTTCATAATAGGATTTCACCCTCTAATGGTACAGGCAAGGGATGTTAGTGTACCCACGAGCGTAGAGTTTTTCTATCACCCCAGGCAATTGTGATGGTTAGATCACTAACAGTCGTGCCTATGAAATATTATCGGTCAGGGGCGAGTAGACCGGAGCTTACCTCCCCAGACAATTACAATATTTACATTACTAACCGCTGTGCCGACGGGATAATATTGGTCAGAGGCAGATAAGGGCATTTTCACCCTAGACAATTGCGATGGGTAGATCGCTAACCGCTATGCCGACGGGACAATATCGGTTAAGAGTGTGTTAGGTTTGTTAACGTTGATCCTCACAGAGACAGAAATTTATGTAAAGTATAAAGTACAATTAAAGTAACGATGAATGCATATAGCAGATTAGTGTTTGTTCATTTATAAGAAAATCATTGATGCATGCATTAATAAATATCAAATTGCTTATAAAAAAATATGAAAGATCAGTATGTTATAAATTTTTTTATAGACCAACATGCATATTAAATTCTTTTCCATGGATTTGTAGTTTAAAAATGTGATTACTCATGTGTTATCTTTAGATAACTCATTATATTGCATTAATATCCTTTTAGGTTTTAAATATTTGAACAAGATAGAAGATGAGCAAATGTGTATAGAAGACGAGAGCAACGGAAAGGTCCAATTTCTACTTGTTAATTTTAATTATTTCATTTGTGGTTCTTTCATGTATTGATTGAATATTATTTTTTTAAAAATAGAATTAGAATAGCAGATAATTGATTTCCACCGTCCGAACGTCCGTTCCCGTCTTGGTTAATTCCAAGCCCTAGGGGGGCATGAAAATTTATAATAATCATATTTGTATTTCATACGTGATTTATAGTAATTCGTGTAATATGGGTTACAATTTCCAATTCACCAAGTTGCATTGATGATAAGCAGGCACAATAAAGTTATAGAAGTCGATCATGAAACAAGTGCATGCCCTTAATTGAAACTTCTTCATCTGGAAATACAGTCGTATCATGCCATGCAGAGAGGTCAAATACAATCATAAAAGGCCCACACATCTGTTATTACATCATAGAAGGTCCATACATGACCTAGTCCCAAAGCTGTAATTTACTTGGGGTATTTACATACATTGCACACAATTCTTATGGATTAACCTATCTCACACCTAAACCTACATATTTACACGCATAGCACTCCAATCTATAATATCACATCAAAAATAGCACTATTATCAGTTTTAAAAGTAAAATACATATTTTCATGCATAGGTTCAAAGCACCAAAGTGATATGTATGTAAATATGAAATTTTAGGTGTGTAATATGTAAATAGATAAGAATTGTGGGCTAGGTATGTAAATTTCCCTAATTTATTTTGTTGTTACTTATACTTGTTAGCCAGGCAGGCAAGAGAGACTCGGGGCTTGAAGACACAACACTAATGATCAATGAGAAAAGAAAAGAATGTATTAGCTTGAGAGCAAAACGGAAGAGAAAGCTCCAAAAAACAAAATCATGTCCAACAAAATCCTATCATAAGCATAACTTCATTCTCTCTGGAAAATGTTTTTAGCAGAATGATTACGCATCCTTAAAGAACTGAGATTTATCCAAGTGCTTCCAATGTGATATGAAAGTATTTTTGCAGAAAAAACACAAAAAAGTACTGAGATTTATCCAAGTGCTTCCAATGAGATATGAAAGTATTTTTGCAGAAAAAACACAAAAAAAAAAAAAATGCCAAAACCAGCTGAAGAAGGCTCCACTTTTGAGGAAATTCTGTTTGACTACCAAGGTGGACAGCGAAAAAATAACCTGATCCAAGCGTATCTTGTTTAGTTTCTGCATGGCCGAGTCCTCTTTTGACCTCTGCTGCTGTTCTGATCGTTGGCTTTCAATCTTGCTATAAAATTCATCTAAAGCGGCATCAAATGTCTCAAACTTCATGCACTCTCGTGACTTGAATTGGTTCAACAAAATGGGGCAATACTCATCATAAATCTGCAAATTTAACCAAAATTATAGAATAGGTCAATGTTTGTTTGACCAATGGTGTTAACAGAAGCAAAGAAGCTGGTAAAAACCATACAAAATAATAAGCAAAAAGAACAAAATATAACTGAGACAAAAAAAAAAAAAAAAAAAAAAAAAAACC